TAATTTAAACTACCTAATTAATTAATCTAAAACTTCAGCAAGAATTTTTTTCAAAATGCTTGAATAAAGCAAACATTTTCTAAAAAAATTCTCATTTCTAATCTAGTTTCTGTCCAAAACTTACAAAATCTTTATATTTTAGTCATAAAATAAAGCATTTCTAAAAAAAATTCTCTCTAAATTTTTTGTTATTTTTTCTTTAGAAATGCTTTTTTTATGACTAAAATTGCGAGTGAGGTTTTTTTTATGTTCGGAGTTGAAAGCTTTTGTTTCTGAGATTATCTTTTTGGAGCATTTTTTTCTGCCAAGGAGGACAAAGGGCTGCATTGCTTCAATCTGTCTGGCGAAGGAAGTCTGGACAAAGAGGCAAATGTCACTGTCAAATTAACTGTCAAAAGTGTGAGTGGGGTGGTAGAGAAACAAGGACATACATTGGAAAAGGCCATGAATCTGGATGGTAAAATCGTTTCTTTTTAATTAGAAATTGAAATTGGACGAAACAAACTGGTTAAATAGTTTTTAAATCAGCTATGATGAGTTTGACAATAAATTGAAGTTTGAAATTTGAATTACTTCTTTCGGAGGTCTTTATCAAGATACCAAAAAACGGTTTTCATTTTCATTTACTGATTAATAACTGGTTTAAATATTGACTCTTTTGATAATGTCCTATGTTAAAGATTTTTTCTACGGTTTTGTTATTCAAAGCACCAAAGCCACACATCATGGCCTTTATTTTTTTGAGATTTTAGATATTTTATCTTGGCTAACTTTGAATTCTGTTGAAGAGGTCATGCTAGTCCCCTCTATGGGCATCATGGGCTGTGTGGAGTATGATGACTCATCCGGGTGTCACCTGCTGATTGAAGTGGAGCCATTCAAATTTTTGGAATATCTCAGCTTCCAATATACGGTGAGATGATTGGCTAATTGCTATTAAAACCCTACAGCAAGCATCATATGATAGCCTTCACAGGGGTGGGTCTAATATTTTGTCTTC